TAATAATAATGATAACAAATGAAAGCCTGGGAGATGGCTGTCTTTGTCGTTGGCAAAGTTCAATCATCTCTCTTCTGATGCATCATTTGCTTAATGCACACATATCTGTTATGGGCTTCATGCTTTCGGCTATCTTCAACCTAATATCATCTTCATGATAGACATGTTGGGACGCATAACGGCTGCTAACAGTTAATGCAATCATGTGGAGTCTCTCATAAAGGAAACTCGTCCTGGACTTGATGAAAATGATTAAATCTCTCTAAAAGTAATGTGCCTAAGACCCAAAAGCTCTATGAAGCAACTTCTCTAAAAACATGAATATTCATGTATTTGAAAAAAACTTTAAAATATAGTGTTATTTTGATCATTCTAATTTGATAGTATGAGTGATTGACTGATTGAAATTATTCGAATTTCTATAAATATTTTGGAATGCTATATAGGTCGGATTACCTTTTCGGCATAGTTTGGAGCTTCCCCATGTGAAGCTGTCCCATTTGCATTTTTCTCTTGTATTTCTAAAAAATCTTACATCTTTATTTAAAACAGCTAAAAATCTGTCACTTTTGTAGCTTAAAAGAAGTAGCTTTAAACAACATTTTATGTTAGGAAATCTGCAAAGAAATTTTTTGGATTTGCGCATTTCCTTTCATTTATTTAAAATAGCCACATAAAATATTCTCATTAAAACATTTATTGTAACATTGTGATCATATATATTTCTTCAAAAAATATCACAGTTTCAAACGAAAATCCAATCATATCACATCATCTTATTTGATATTGTGCTACTGACTTGTTCTACATGCAATTCAAGTCTCGGCTCTGTTGAAACCAATAAAAGTTGGAAAAATCCAAATCCTGTGTGGAAGTAAAACGCAGAAATTTCAGATAAAAATCCACGTGAGTCATTCCAGAGATAATCAAACGGAGCAGATGCCCCGCTTGAGGCTTGAGTTCCTTTGCTTACCTTGTTACCCTGGCATCTTGCTTGGCTCACTTCAATTTCTTTCTAAGCCAAGTTACTTTCCTCAGTCTCGTAATAATTTCGATTATATACAGAATTCCCAAAGTCACAGATGACAGACATACCAAACATATTATTTTGAAATTTAAGTATATTAACATCTTAGGTAATTTCTTACACTCAGGATTTTTACGAGACAGTGCTCAATGAATTATTTTTAATATGAAAAATCTCACATCCATATATGAAAAATTGAAAAATTAAAAAGTAAATTTTTCTGACGACTGGAATCAAACCAGCAATCTCTAATTAACCGGACTAGTGCATTTGTCATTATGCTACGCCAGTACTTGATTACGTTTCAAGATTGTTCTCTCCTCTTTAAGCATAGAAAACTTAAATTGGAAAATAACATCAGTAATTGCTTCAAAAATGGATTTAAAGTGAACATGTCTGAGAATTTTAATCTTGAAAATTTCACATGTACATAATATCTACATTTTCAAAAATGAACTTGCTAAGGAATATCAAAATAACTCAATTACGTAGATACGTTATTTATGAAATTGGTTTTATTCAAATTCATCTTTTATTCATTTCGAGACATGATATCTTCTGTTATTTATATGCTCATAAGTTTTTATGATGTTTTTCGCATATGCTTATGGGAGAGGAACACATACGGTACGACGTGGAGGATTAGAGTTACCGGCATCTCCACCATCTCCACCATCTCCTGCATTTCCATTTCCTACGACGCCACCGCCATCTCCACCATCACCACCGTTTCCACCAATTCCACCTCCATTAGCATCACCACCATCTCCTCCATCTCCACCATCTCCAGCATCTCCATTTCCTGTAACGTCACCACCATCTCCTCCAGTGCCTCCTGCACCTCCGTCACCAGTTCCATTAGCATCACCACCATCTCCGGCATCTCCACCATCTCCTGCATCTCCATTTCCTGTAACGTCACCGCCATCTCCTCCAGTACCTCCTGCACCTCCGTTATCACTTCCAGTAGCATCTCCACCTTGTCCACCGTCGCCTCCATCTCCTGCATCTCCATTTCCTACAACGCTACCACCTGTTCCCCCGCCACCACCAGTTTGAGCAGCTGTTTTAGAAAAAAATGGAATGAATAAAATCCTATTTTGATTCACTAAAATGCATACCAACGGCGTAGATGGAAGCACATAAAAATAAGATTGCAAACAATTTCATTGTTTCTTTTTGATAATAATTGAATGAGTTCTCAAATGTTTATTGGGAATACTGACTTTTAATGCAATTATTTTCGACTTTTATAGCAATTTTTTTTCTTTTAAACTCCTCCCCTGATGATAAAAGTGATTGATCATTTTACAAATAAATTGTAATACTCATATATGTTCATATTTAAAAAACCTACTCTACTTCGATAAGAT